GTTGATACTAGAGAAAGTAGTAGCCATTATTAGTACAAATAGTGGCAGATTTTTGGTCATCTACATGCCATCCCATGGCCCATTGAACTTCCGCTTGGTTACCAGCCATCACACTAACTGAATTCGTCTGTATCACACTCCAGGATGTCTGTGGACTTGTGCATTCATTATACACACTTTGTTGATTCCACTTGAACGCTCAGCTGATCCATAAGTATGCGGGGTTCAAATAGATCTATTCGACAACACCACCTCTACGTGCGCTTGGGACATAGTCAACATCAAGATGGCCTAGTCGTATAAATCCTTACACCGCATGGGGCATTTGTCTTGAAACCTCACATGCTCTTGTTGTACACAAATGCAGGGTGACAGTGAATGTGGCATATTGGTTGATCGGAGTGGATTAAACATCCAAAGATCCCTACCAACTGCAGCTACCTGTTTGCATTGTTACCCATTTTGCATTTCAGTATGCGCGTTAGATTCAGGATGGGAACTGAGGGGTAAGAGAATTTCAAGGAAAAAGCAACTCGATTACACTTTGATCCAATTGTCTGACTTAGGAGCCACTGGGATGTTTGTGATGGCTTGCCTACTATGTTTAGTCTTACAATCTCACCTTTATAAGGATCGTCTGTTTCTTCTCGGGAGTGTGACAGTAGTCCCACTAGCATCTGTTTGAGGGTGGTACATTCAGGGTGGTTCTTGTGCCCAGTCTATCTCACTGGATAGCACACATGAGACTATCGTTAACCGCAAGCGGCCATGGGAGACCTGGTTCAGTGGTTTCTGACTTTCAATTGCCAGGCGTGCTGTATGCTGACCAATCCCAGCATATGACCCGTAAACCATTGTATGTACTGGTTGGGTGTCAAATAAAGGTTGTCGAAAGGCTCCGAACATCCAGCAAACACTGGGTTGCACCATTCCCTTATATTTTGCTTGCCAACATCCGGTGTGAGTGAATATGCTACATCTCAGGTGATGCCATCCAGACTAACTCAATGGACCAAAAGGGTAAACAAGCGATTTCGCTACCCCGGCTGAAGAACCGTTGCAGTGAGTAGCTTGTGGGCTATTACAATCGACTGGAGATGGAAAACTAAGGATACCAAAGTTAGTTTAGAGGATCATGCACATCGGATGCATGTGGAGACGTCTGGAGATTTCCCCGGTTTGCCTGTGTGAAATTCGCAAAATGCTATTTCATTTCACACATAGGTGATCAGTGCGAAATGCTGAACTGTATGTTGAATTCGATTGTTTGAGCCGAACACTACCATTTTGCTTGACGCACGTTTATTTCTCGACGTGCGACCGCTTCGTATGCTGTAGTTTTTTCGTTCCCATCAATCCTCTTTATAGCTAGGCTAGCTTTCCTGCATTCGATTTAACTTCTAGAACCGCTATCTGGACTCCGGTTAAACAGGGGAAAAAACGGCAACTTTCGAATAACTATCTAGTGAGCACCAATAAAAGGCAGTTCCGTGTTCCGTGAATAGTGGATGAAATTGCCACACTATCCCCATGTGTTTAAAGGGGTATGCCTTCGTTGTGCACGGAGTCTACTACCATTCTTTAAAAAGCTTAAGGCGAGCAAATCCTCCCCTCTATGCTCGATCAGATCACGAACCTCACGGCGGCCGTCAAGCGTCTTTCCTGTCTTTAAAGGGACTCAAAGATTGGTCCAATGGAAATCATCATGGTATCATTGGCATACCCACCGCCTCCAAACTTCCCATGTAAGTCGTGTTACGGCGGCTCGATAATCCTCGTGAAACTCGAGTCAGTGGGGGTTAGTTTTGCACTGCCTTTTCCGTAGAGAGTTCGCTGACCATAGTTATGCTCATCGTTGGCTATCCGACGTGTATCTACATCGTGACACGCAATCTCTATTGGAGCAACATGTAGTCCTGAAATAAATCTTTGCTATTTTCACCGCTGGAGTTACATCCGAAGTGGAGAGTTTCGGAGCTGCTAGCTCCCAACAAAACATTCCATGACCGACCGGTTTCATCCTGATTTGGACTCAGGTAGAGATAGCCTGAGCTGAGAGTAGAACCGGACACATAGTGATGGGCCGCTTATGCATTGTTATATAAGCCACGTTTCTCGGAACCGCACATCTACAGAAAAGCATATCCTAACTCCACCGCAGTAAATAATAAATAATGTCTCCGCTGTAGGCCGTAACGGCGCTTCGCTGCCGTGCGACCACCGCCAGCCGCGGGCGGGCTGCGTATGCCACGAGGACGCCCACTCCTAAGCGGATTCGAACCCGCGCCGCATTATTACGTGACAAGCTCGTTACCTCTAGGCTACGGGCCGACACAGTAAATGGACTGTGTCAAAATTTCCCTCTCTCTTCATTTCCATCTAATTTTGAGATCAATCAGACGTTGTATGAGTCCGTTCTCTAGCACTTTTTCAAATGGAGTTTTTGTTTGGTGACCAACTGCTAAACCTAGAATACACAGAGGACTAGCTCGGTTTGGACCGAACCAAATTGTTGTGCAACCGCCTCTGAATCGGCTGGCATGTATCACCACAAGCCTGGTGCACATGCTCCGTATTTTTAAATTACAAGGTACTATTGAGAGGCTGTGCTGACGCACTACCACTTATTGCAATCACGGTTCGATCCCTCTGTCCGCCTAGGTAGCTGTATGCCTGTTGGTAATTGATACTGAACGCATTGGTTAGACCAATGTATTTTTCCAACTGTCAAACAGTAGCAAAGACGGTGAGATAGTAGGCAGTTGGTTACGAGTAGGATTTACAACGCCGCTATGCTACCGGTGTCATTGTATCACTTAGTGGCTTGTCCACTGCGTCCCGACCGATGGAGGTCTGAGGGCTCTTGCTCATGTCTGGTGGGAGCGTCGAATTGTTAGTCATACGGTGATTTGCAACAGACTCTGTGCGGTCCAGTTTTACAGTGTGTCGACTTCGATTTGTCTACGATGAAGAAAGCATAAGCACCAACTGGTTACCTCGGTGCGCGGACATATATATATATATATACACATATATATATATACACATATATATACACATATATATATATATACGTCCGCGCACCGAGGTAACCAGTTTGGACATGGAACCATCAATAATACCGTTGGAATCAAAGAAAAGTACCATTTGACGAAAATGGAACGAAGCATTGTTACTTTGTTTTTCAAACGCCGATTTATGTCCTTTTTGTCATTTTCAATGTTTGCCGTATTAAACATGTGAATCAATACAATTCTGTACGCAATTCTTCCACTGATTTCGGTTGCGGGCCATGTCTTCAAGCGTGCTAAACCATTGGCAATCCTCATCCTTGAGTCCCCATCCTGGAAGACGTACGGGTCCAACGGCGGCTAGAAGCAACCTCAGCAACTAAATGTACTGTCGTCAAGTGAACGACTGACCACACGATCGCCTCCAGCCTAGTCCTTGACGAGCGAATAGAGCTTACCGCGGTAAACGCCCAGGCACCATGTGTAGGACGTGACCAAGCCATCTCAACTGGGGTAGCAAAGCCAGTTTTTTGAACGGAGTACTCGCATTCCACAAGATGCGAATTCGAATGTCATCATCGTGAACTCGATGTTGCTACCACGCATGAGCGATCCTCCTCGAACGACTGTTGCGGAACGCAGAAAGACGACGCATGGCCTCCAGGCGAATTGGCCATGGCTCACTCCCATACAACAATAATTAACGAACAGATGCGCAGTAAACAGGCCCCTTTATCGTGAATGAGACATCACGACGACGCCACAAGTGCCTCAGATTGGCAAATGCTGCTCGGGATTTAGCAGTGGGAGGAGAAATTTCCGCGCGGATAGTGCTGTCAGCCGAAACACGGCTCCCAAAGTAAACGAAACTATCTATATGTTCAAATTGTGCACCTTCGAGAGTGAACACGGGAGCAGGTGTAGGCCAATCCTGGGGCAGCACTTTGCACATCGATGGGGCGAAGCTCATGCTATACTTAGATAGTTCAAGCGGCAAACGATCCAGAATGAGTTGCATAACCTGAGGGTCGTCACCAAGTAAGGCGATTTCATCAGCATCATCTAAGTATGTCGCGCGCTCGCTCGGTAGAGGCTCTAGGCCAAACGTTTAGATCTCTCAACCGGACGTCCTCAATTTCAAAGTTGGAGAGGAATGGGGGCATATCGAAACCCTGTCGCAAACCGTTTTTGATAGCGAAGGACAGGGAAGGCAAACGTATGCGCAAATCCGAGATGTGGCTGGGAACTGCCATGACAAAATTGCGCGAAGGAATTCGCCAGGAGACCAAGTACGGTGGATGCGTGTGGTTTCCTTGGATGGAATCCTCTAAATCGGTCACATTAGTATTCGAATATCCTTTCGGGTATGATACTGTTATGAGTCCTTGGCGACGTTGTATTTGCTCATATGCTTCTAGCTCTTAACTACTCTAGTTGACATCCCTAGTTATTGACCATTCCTTTTCATGTAGCATTAGTATCCTTATTCTTATCTCAGCGGAATAAGTTGGGGTAGCTGGATACACCATATTTGACATGCAAATTAAAATTAATCGACCATACCAAACTGTATCGCGGTTTGCAGTGGCTGGTAACAGCAGAAATTGGATTGATCACAATTTTACTATCTACTCACATCATCTAATGCATAAGCTATGGGGATTTGAAACCATTATACGCAGTTTTGACTCCATCTACTGATTTTTCCCCTATTGCGCTCTCAGTAGACAAACAAACGTTGAGAAATAATGCTAAATGTTTACATTTCACTACTCATGAACCATTCCTCCTCAGATTACCTTATTCTATCTATGCTGTTCCCCCACCTTTCTTCTCCGTTCCCTTTCTACCCACTCCATTGGTAATAATCTTATACGATTGTCGGTGACACTGATTGTTGTATGCTTGCGCTCGTCTTCATCCGTGTAATTTGATTTAACGGCACTGATTCACTTCGCATATGGTCACACATCTCGACTAACCTCGTAGATGCTTTTAAGCGCTCAGTCACCATCTGGGGGAGATTTCATCTATCCATACAAACAGAACGGTAGCGCAGTCTGCGTGCCCTCATCAGATCAGACTTCATACGCACCTTACCGTCCATCATTTAGCCAGTATTACGCGCAAGACCCCGCGAGGTCTTTACCTTTGGACCCACAGGCTTTGATACCCTATCACCCGGAATTTCATGAAACTCGCTGGGATTATTTACATCCGCGTCAGCGCATTGATTTAGATAATCGATTCTTAGAGGAGCACTATGTTCAAAAAACGGTTCACGTGCCATTGCAGGCACTGTGCTCTTCACAGCGCGTACCACCAGGCATCTCAGTGCATGCTAGGCCACCACAGCAAGCAGCACAGATACTGGAAGTGCCTCATTCTTCAGACACTCCATCGATACCAACAAGTGGGCAGACAACAATTCCGTGGACAGTGCTGACGCCGTCGAAACCTTCTACCGTATCTGCCCCACCATGCTTCGAAAGACATGGCCTTCAGACTGAAGATGTGGTACCTCAGCAAATCGTTAAGTTGGATCTACGTGGTCGGAGTCTCTCGGGATCAGATGATATGATTCAGGGGCAAATTTCCGCAGCTAATTCACTGACAACACCTCCATTATATACTAACTTCTCTCTAGACTGTCACAAATGTCGAAAAGAGTTAGCCGAAGCTACTGGTAAGCAGGATGCCTCAGCGAAATTCACACACCGTGAACCCGATAAACTCTTGTCTTTGCGACCAAGTGCACGGGTAATCAGAAGATCAAGAAAAGGTGTCAGTCATCCGTCGGGAGAGCTGGAGACGTTCCGAGGTCGTTCAACAATTTCCTCAGGACGTCCTGATGGAAGACACAAGTCAACCTTAGGGTCTGTGACCAAAGGTTATGAGCTGACCGTGAACAAAAATATGTCATTAACTCTTGATGGGCCATCTGGATCAAGCTCAGTCACCGCATTCGGGGAGCATAAGTTGGACGGAAACCTCCGAAAGGATGCAAACACCGTCAGTGCTCGCCAATGGAGCTCAGGTTGGACAGTAGGAGTTGGTGGCAGACCAGCACCCAAGTCCGCTCATGCACCAGAATCCGGTATTCAGGAAGTACTTGACTTGGCGCTACTCACCACGACTAAGCAAGGAGATACGTTACATTTTCGTGATAAGGCGATCAGGATGAAGGCTAGGGCGCGTAAAGCATTTCCTTTGTTAGTTTCCAAACAGCAGTCACCTTCATGGGATCACATTTCTCTTGGGCTCCGGAAATCCAGATCAACTCCTGGTGATCTCCGGCGAGTTGGTGCTTTGATTGATGTGGAGGCGTTGCGACATCCACCAGACATTCAACGACAATACGATATTCACAACAGACCCATTAGTGATTCATACTTTGGACCCAACTCTTTACTGAGGCGATCCAGAAGACGAACTATCGCTCAACTCAGAAAAGTCAGAGATAAGCGTCGCGAACACCGTTTCGATGTGTGTATGGCTGCATCATCCTGGGAGAACATTGGGCGGGTGAATGAGTTGCGTGAGCTATTCGCTTCGGCACGACCAAACACGGTGAGTCTATGCCATCGAGCTCAGACACTGGATACTAGTGGTGTCAGGAGTTAGAAAAGCTAATGCTACATGCATTCCCTGCAGCTTCATCCCTAGTTTATTCCCACTACATCGTGATTCATTTGCTAACATTAGATTTGTGCACTTGAATGTTGAACACCATGTGTCGTATCTAGTGCCTCATGCAATTACGCCTACCATTGTGATTGGGTTGTAATTATTAGTTTCGTGCGTAGCCCATGTTAATCGTTGTTTTCTCAGTGTGCTCATATGCTGTAAACTATACCAAAGATGCCATCATGTATAGCTTGTGGAAATGCAAGTGAGTGAACCTTTGCTCTAAATACTCTGCGCCGATGAACTCACCACTCGCTTTTGGTTCCCTCAATTCCTAGTCCGCCGATTACTATAAAACTGTGTGTGACACTCAACCAGTTATTTCAGAACTGAACGCTTTGTTCGGAGCTTTTTAATTTTTAATGGAATTTATTCCTATCAGTCGAAGTGTTGTTGATAGAAATATCCCGAAAAGCATTAGCTAATCACTTCGTCCTAATGAGACTAGTCGGTAGCACTGACTTTCTTGGCTTGGCGAACAACCTGAAACCGCGTTTCTGCATCTACGAGCAGAAGTTATGACCTTTGTGCCATCGTGCATGTCGATGTGGACAATGGAACAATGGTTTATTACGGGTAAAAAAGCATCGCTTAACAAGTCCCGTTGGATGGAAATTATTGCGAAAATAAATCGCATAATAAAATGAAAAGCGTTGTGGTGGACTCACCATAGACTTATGTGAAATAGCGGAGATGTTCGCACATTAAACGTATAAATCCACAAATCCAATGGTTGAGCGCTTGGCAAGAAACCATTTGATTGCGTTTTGTAGCCCCTGGCTAACAAGTCATAAAAGGAAATGTAAGTGAGACAACGCATCGTCAACACGTTTTTTAAATATCGCCAGATTGGGAGCAGAGACGACATAATTAGGGAGGGCATTCCAAGGCTCACACACGCGGAGAGAAAAGAAATTTCTACGGCATTCATGCCAGCTATAATGAATTGTCAGTTTCAAAGGGTGACCTCTTAGGTTAGTCTTGGGGTTCAATTCTAGCAGCGGACGGCAAATGTGGTTTGGGTTCTTCAGAATCTGGTAAACCATTATGAGATCCCCCCGCAAAAACCGAAATCGACTGCTGTACATACTTAGAGATTTCAGTCTAAGCTGATGGGGTAGATGAAAGAAGCTCCTGACGTTCTTGGTTGCCCGTCGTTGAGGAGTCTCGAGTGCCACGAGATCCTGTTGCTGCCATGGCTGCCACACCTGAATAGCATATTCCACTTGCGGTCGCACGTAGATGTTAGGCATTTGGGTAAAGATTGAGGGTTCAAACCGACCGAAGGCCCTGCGAAGAAGGCCAAAGTGTTGATTTCCGGTTCTCCTCGCCTTCTCTGCTTGTTTGGAACACCCGAGATCTTCCTGTACCAATACACCCAGGTCCCCCTCCTGAGAAACCTTCGCCGAGGTGTGGTCTCCAATCTTGTAAGCGCTCACCAGCTGGTGACGCAGATGCATCACTTTGCACTTAGCCATGTTCAATTGAAGCTTGTTCCTCTTTGACCATTCGTAAATGTGCTAGCATAGGTCGATGGTTATCTATCGTCAACTAGCTGTTAGTCTGCCCACCTATTTTCAAAGATTTTGGCAAACTTTCCGAACCAACTTTACAACCAAAACATACGCTTGTGTGACATCATCATCGTCATTTTGAGCAGCGCCTCACCCTTCTCCTAAAGCAGCCTATGTGAGCATTACCCATGAATCCAGCGAAAAGTAGAACGCGTAGAAACACGTGTATGAAGTAAAGTACATACGAAAAGACGACGGAACACCGAAGACACCAGCGTAACCAGATTGAGAACGACATCGTTTGACGCACCTTAGCTACTCAACATGCACTCTTGGGCTGCCGAATTAGCGTTGGCTGGGCAACAATTGAGAATACTTGTAATTCGGGGTGTGAGTGAGGGCTGTCTGCGCCTGTCCCACTTTTGGTTCGATAGTTGAAGTACAACGACTTGAACAGAATTTTCGACTGCGCCTAAGCTCACTTGACAGATCCAGTAACCCTACATGGCTTGTACTTTCCTATATGCTTAACACCTGTGAATGTTGCCCGAACTGGTATCACACGAATTCTAGTTTGCTTACGTTACATGGTCCCTCCACGTCATTATATCCACCTGATCCAAGTTAGTTGGCTTCCGGATCCGTTAGCGTGAATCCAGCTTCAGTTGCATGTTCGGCGCCTAAGGTTCTCGTAATCTGGTTGGCTTAAGTTAAGCAGTGTGATTTGTGTATACAATAAGTTATATTGCGCTCATTGGTATAGGCTTTGCCCATGTATATAGGATACACGATGCATGTAAAAAAGGTATCTGTGTGTTCTCCCTTAACCACCTACTTACGGTGAACCATTCTTCTCACCTCGTTAATAAACGAATACTGAACAGCACCGGAGCCATTTCAGTGGGGATGCGACTGGTATACACCGTCAGCCACTTCCACTTCATGGGGCCGGCACAGCGGAAGGCTAGCTGCATTGTCTAACGCGTTTGTGATGAAGCTGTCTGAACACTTGATTGACAGCTGCGGTCATGTACTTAATCGAATTAGTGCGCGGTCGACGGATGACGTTTACACGGATTCACAACTGGGTGTAAATCAATCCGGACTGATTGCACGGAGTACCTTGTCAGTCCTGTTCCTTTTTCATCGCAAAATACTGAGTAAACTATCCATGTGGTGCACTGTGATGCCGGAGCCCGTTGGTCAGCACTTGAGATGGTTCAATCTGGACTTGTCTATTGTGATAGTTGGATCCTTACTGTTCAACTGTAATTTTGCACACACATTGAATGCATCATAATGCCACCTGTCTCTCCTTGCGGACTCAAGGAGGATGAAACTATAGGCATCTGTATCGATCTTTGGTTGGAATACCGGTTCTTTCTGGTGCGCAAGCCAAGTCAATATAAGCTTCCTATACCCCATGGAATCGATTTGCAGCATGTTACAATATCCACTGCGGATGTTTTAAAGCAACCTCATTAAAAATGCAAAATGGTACAACTGGAAATATGACATTAGGGGTGCAAGTGTCCCTCACATAAACGATCCCGAATCTGCATCCTGTTGGTGGTGCAGTGTCGGAGACAAGTTTATCAATCTGGGCGAGGGTTTCCTTAAGTTACAAAGCTTCTTCTGGTAACTTCGCGCGATACGCGCAGTATCTCAAAGTCCATTTTCAAACGTCGGCGGTGGGCAGCATTAGTGACCTCGGATCTAGTCTAACGGAAGAAAATGTCTAAAAGATCAGTGTAAACCGATAAATCCGCAGCAAACAAGTGCGATGTTCCAAAGAAAAGACAACCGCCGTGGACACTACCGTGGCATCCCAATGATGGCCATCTCACAATATGATCATATGTTCACGCTCGATCACGGTACTTATCTCTCAGGCTGGGTTAAGTGATAAAAACCGCTGAAGGCGAAGATCAGCTGGAAGTCACATTAATGTTGTTTGCATTGTTGGGCCGCAAACCTCCACTGCAAGTGAAGCGACTTGAAACAAAAAGCACAATTCCGCACCTATTCTACCTGCTTGCATTGATAAATCAATGTCCTGGCATAAGCGCTGAATCTCCAGATGCGTAGTTAATGTTCAAGCAGGGACATACACTTACTGAGTGCACTCACTGACATCATTCGGTCAGGGTTGGCGTCCAAGCAAACCCCCTAGGCGTCCATACGATTTCTCAGCCGATCAAATATGCGTTATGCACAAGGCGGTGGCTAGACATTAGTCCGCTCCACACTGAGTGCATGAAACCACTGTCTGATCCTAACACGGCGACAAAGATCGTGCACCTCGTCCCCTCCAGCAAAGACCACCTGTCTCCTAGAACCAGTATGAACGAGGGAGTGGGTAATAGACATTTAGGCACCTTGTCAACATGCACATCAAGCGCAGCCACACCGAGGATATCAAAAGCTTTCAATCACTTCAAACGATAAGATGAAATAAAATAAATCGGTTAATGCACACAGATACGTCGACATAGCTCTCCACTTAATGGGCGTATAAAACTATTGTTTATGAGCGAATCCGCGATAAGCTCAAGAGGTCAAAAAACATATTTTGCGGAAATGCCACCAAGGCGAAAAGGTTATCGAAATTAACTACAATTAGGTACAGAATCGTGTTCAAGTTTATGGAAGAGAGTACTGCTAGACATATATATGAGGAGTAAAAGTATTAGGAAAAAATGGAATATCCACCACCTGTAATAAAGAGACTTAGAATGCAAGCACGCGGTTAGTAAATCGAATGTAGCGTACCTAAAAACGCTGCGCCCGTTCTGTCTACGTTCTCTGCAAGACTTGCCATCGCATCGGTAGTGGTCCCAAGTGGCCTCGCACATGGCTCACTAAGCCTGCCTGACTCAAGCACTCATGACCGCATGTGCTACAGCACCATTCGCTTGATGTCGATGGAGTACAATTCATTGGTGCTTGCCGCTTCCGCACTTGCCGCTTCTTCTCTGCATGCATGAGGGTTTTCTCCTGCACCTCGGCAACTGCCATCGTGATCAGAACGCGACACGCACGCCGATCAACCGCCTTCAAGTCCCATGATTTGCAAGCAAGATTAGAACGTGAGAGGCTCACACTGATCATGTCCTGGCAACGTAACTTTGGTTTCCCCGCTTGACGCTTCCCAATACTCAGCTGACCTTATAAGAGTTGTTTCGGTATCCGCGTCGAATCAATACGGCTCACATGACCAAGCCACCTCAGGTGTCTCAGCAAAAGTATGCAGTTTATTGCATACATTCCACTTCGACGCAACACTTCCGTGTCCACAACTCTGTCGCCCCAATCCGATGCGCAGAATCGGCCGCAAACATTGTTGTTGGAACCGCTCGAGATATCGCA